GAGACGTGCCCTGGTCAACGAGGATTTCCAACATATGTCCACCTGGCATCAGCCGGGGCCCGACATGAAGGGACTTCCGATGAAATACTCTAAAAATAATCGCAGAAATCAACGATAGAAAAATTCGTGTCAAACCATAGGCGACCCCGTGTGAGCTCTGGACGAGGGAGGCTTGAGAATGAAGTGCTCTGGTATATATAGCCGTCTGAGACTCGCTTGCCGTCGTTCCCACATTCCGGGGGTTTAAATCATTCATAACTCTTAATTAGTCACACGGATCCCCCATTAGCTGATGGAGCGGTCATGAGACCCATCTCCCGCACTTGGCATAGGGCCAGGTGCTGCGGACGCGACACGTGTTGCACTTTTTACAAATACTATTTAATTTTTAACGAGACGATCTTCCAGGAGGAAAAGCATAAACGCGACGACATGGAATTACGGCATATCCCCATAAAGTACAGTCGACGAGCAAAATTGTACTACGTTCGGTTGTACGGGTTCAAGCTCGTCTCAGGTAATTCAGAAATCTCAGAATGGAGATCGATAACTACTTTGGGATCCGAATGTGTTCAGGGTTGATAGAATATCACCGACGGAATAAGATAGCTTTCGACGAGGATGGAACCATGATAAAACGAGCAATCAAACGAGCCGAATGGCAGCTTAATCACGAACAAATTGTCAAGTATGTTGCTCGGCGAGTGCGACTGCGAGCGGTTGCGTCGCGGTTGCTAAAAACGCTCAAAGCTCCAGGTGTTTTCGACTAAGTGTCTCATTCAAGAGTCTAGTCTAAAGTGTTACACGGCCCACCTTCGAGGTAGTGGACCGGGTCTCTGAGGGGGCGGGGTGGGGTATGAAGCGATTGTGTGGTTAGCACCGGTGATGGGCACGGCTTGTGGCCGTAGCCTTTGCGTCCGATTGTGTTGTCCCACGATAGTTCAAATTATTATTTATTATTACCACCCTATTGCCGCTTTGAACAATATGCCGTCAGCAAGAGCGACTCCCCCGAATTGCGTGGCCACGGTGGTGCAACTCTGACACTGCCACGCGATTGATATTTGTGGGGCAATAGAGTTGCCCGTCTCCCCTCCGAATGAGAAACCAAACCGAAGCAGGCGTTCAGCAAACGGTGTATTAAGCGATTTAATCGCGCGGCACTGCTGACCATAAGTCGTCGCGCTGGTAGGCGTGGGTGACGACGCCGCCGCTACCGCATACGAGTTGTACTGCCTCATGGCTCGTCCAACTTGTTGAAAGGATCGGGCTACGGTCCCCAGAGTGATGCTTTTCGAAGTTGCCGTGAACCAATGCAAATCCCCAGCTTCAGTGACAGTTCAGGTGTACGGTAATGCAGCTCTGAAATTGTGGCCCCACATGCCGCGCACGACGTGAGTGGCGTGACCTCACTAGCTCACGAGATAATCGCACGCCCCCCTCCCAACGAATCCCCAGTAATTATCCCAGTTGGTACACAAAAGTTTAAATGCAGCTTATTGGGCACTACTCGAGTGCGACGCTGACGCGCGCGCCAGCTCAAGTTATTAAGATGTGACTTTTATGAACTGTTAGCTTACTGGCCACATTAGCCGAAGAAACGCAAGCACGTAAGCGGTGAAAGAGTGGCGAGTGTGACCTGTTCAGAACGAAAAAGTTAGGAGATGGTGCATTTGGTGATGTGTACAAAGGTGTACTTCATTGTGGATTGATCGATTCAAAGGAAGTTGCCATCAAAACCATTCTTGGAACGGTCTCGACCGAAGAAAACGAGAAGCTATTCAGAGTACGCCATTTTCTCTGATGCTGCAAGATTTCGAAGCCCTTCGTGGGACTATTACAGGAAGCTATGCTAATGAGACGGTTGGTTCACCCGAATGTGGTCATGTTAGTCGGAGTAGCGTCAAATGAAGAGCCAGTGATGATTGTTATGGAATTTGCACCAGGTATCGTTTGGGCGTGCAGCGGGAGTTGCGCTGAACTAATTTCTATTTTTGGGAACATTTAAAGCTCTTATTTCAGGCGGATCTGTGCTTGACGCCGTCCAACAACAACCAGGGCCGACGATATATGTTCGCATTAAGTACTGCAATCATGCTGCACTTGGTCTCAACTATCTTTCCAAGCAAGGGGTGAGAAATCGTTACGATGCCTAGAAGGCAAGGCCCATGATCAGATGCACCTTTCCCCCAGACGGAGTAGGAGTGGCATTTGGACATGGCATGGGTGACATGGATGGGTAACTCGTGGGATATTCCACATGCGACAATTGACACCTTGCTCAGTATAGGACAGAGACACGACCACGATTGTGTCAAAAGGAAAATAGCTCTCCAAAAGGACTGCGTTCATACTTTGCGGCAGCGTCCAGCAGCGTTCCGAGCGTCCGGCAGCGTCAGCGACTTGGAAAGTATAGATATCAATCTGGCGCCTACCAGCGTCCATCAGCATCTCGAGGGTTAGGGAAGTATAGATATAGATCGATCTAGCGTCTGCCCCCGTCCATTAGCTCGACCAGCGTCCAGGAGTAGGGAGTGTAGCGCGATAGGAGGGAAGCAGACAGCTGGTAGAGCATGGCGAGAGGCCCCAGAAGGATCAGTAACACCGAATAGCGACTTTCTTGATCATGCTAAAGTTCTACCATTCAAGATTATCCATCGAGACGTCGCAGCTCGAAACTGTCTGATTGGCAAGAATGATACGGCAAAGATTTCCGACTTTGGGCTGAGTATTGTGGGCACACAGAAAAAGGAGAAGACGCTGAAAAAGGTAAACAGAGAGTGAGCTCTACATGTTCTTTTCGTTGTGCTGAGCCTGTAGACGAGCCCCAGCTGTTATGCTTGCAGGTACCAGTACGCTATTTGGCTCCAGAGACTCTCAAGAAGAGAGAATACACCGTAAAAACAGACGTATGGAGTTTCGGAGTCTTCATGTGGGAGGTGAGACAATCTCTTCTTTCCGCACCGATTGCCGCGTTCTTATGTGTATGTCACGGCGATGTATTCGTGTAGAAAGACATTCTTGTGGTGTGACTCAATGTGGTGGGTCGACTATGGGGCAGAATTATGCGACTAAATCAGAACCCCCAAAAATCGTTTGTGGATAGCCAGTGGGATAAGCGAAAGACCAAGCGACAGGCAAGCAGACAGATAAACCGACCGATAAGTAGTTATCACTGAAGTCATTTAGGCCGTGTCAGCGGTGCACAGGTTGGAGCGGTGCCAGCTCACCCCCCCCCGTTGATCGTTTCGGCTTCGGTAGCTCACTTATCCATGGAAGGCTTGCGCTTCGTGCAAGCTGACTTTGGTGATGCTGACTGCAAGCTGACTTCGCCGCGACTGACTTCGGTGATAGCGACTATAAGAGTAGAACATTTTTGAAGTCAACGAGAAAAAAAATCGGTGTTGTCGATGTATCAAGGGCAGTGAACTGTCACGAGTCAACGCCATGAGCGCGAGTTTTGCTCTCTTCAGCTCCACCTATCGCTAATGATCGGATAATTGCTCAGCAATAATCGTTCCTCACAGTGGCGCACTGGTGTTGTTTATGGTCCTCAATGTCTTTTATTGTCTTAGCTTGTTGATCTGTCTATCTTCCTGCTTGATCGCTTTTTCTAAAGAAAATATGGTGGAAACGTTCATGACGGGAGACGGGCAAGACACTCGTAAACCGCCGCGCCGTCGTACGCAAGCGCATCGTGGGGCAACGCGCGGAATACCTCGATGCGCTCAGTTTGTCAATTGAGTCAGCGAAATCCATGCGCACCGGAAGAAAAACCCTATACCGAAAGCTATGCATCCCTCCTCCCCTCCAAATTCGAATTCAAGCAGCCAGGCAAGACTACTTGTCCCGGGGGCGCGGCGTCGCTCGTCACACCCGCGCGACATAATACGATTGTCCTGTCACATAACCTTTCATAACAGTACCCCTGTAACAGAGCCCATAGAAAACCGATCGCAGACAAGCATAGGATGAAACTAATCGAGAACTACCAATATTATCTTTCGCGACACTGTAATTATGATAATCCTCTGCCCTATATAAGACACCCACGTATAAAAAACTGGGCAAATAGTTCGCTACTGTGACGGGGACACAGGTCCAATAATATAACAGCAAAAGGTACACAATGATAATGAGAGGTAACGAATGATAGTGATCCAGTAAGTCGTGATAAGATGTGATAAACCAGTGATAATCAAGTGAGATAAATGGTCGGAACGCGGGTGTTATAGCTCATACAAAAGAGCATACCAGATTTGAACATGGTAAAATTTCGTTGCGATCTGTACGCAGACAAATAGCACCGTGGCCGGAGGCGAAGTAATGGGGAGGGACAACACCCTGAAACCGAGAGCAAGGTGTCAACCGGCCGGCCTCTCCTTGTAGAAAGGATAGTAAAGTGGGGCACAAGGCGGATGCTTTTATGCCACTCCGCCCTATGAGCTATCATGCAAAGTGCCTTAAGCGACACGCTCTATGACTCAGAAATGGGAGTTTTGCATCCTCAAATACTGGTTGGCTGTGACCCATCAGTGAAATGCAAAATGCACGAAAAATACATCAAAGCTTATATAAGAACCTCAACGTAAAGTGGTATTCCGTGGCATTTGGCGGGGAGTTGCCTTTCGCTAAAGTGCACTCTCTCTCTTTGTACCACTCCTCTTACTACTCGAACGTGAACAGAACTGACGCGGTACATGCACACTTCAGTTAGCGTTTAATATGAAGGTTGGGCGTAGCCGTTGCCAGTGGGTGGAGCCATGATCTCGTCGCGAGCGCGTGGCACCTCTGTGCGCACTTTTGAACGAAAGTGGTACTACACTCTTCTTGCAGAGAGGGCTAATATGAGCAAGAGCGCTCGCGAAATATCAATGCGTGAACGCGCAGCGTGCCTTAACCAATACAGTAAGTAAACTAGAATGAATGCTCTGCTTCAGGTATTCCACGACGGTAGGGAGCCATATGGTGAAATGAATGCGAAGGAAGTGCGGAAATATGTGCTTGGCGGTAACACACTTGACAACGAGTCGGACCACTATCCTCAACAATATGTGCCGCGTCAATCACAACGTATACGCACTCTAGTTGAGGAAGAAGAGGGAGGATTTCGAAAAAAAAGGGAAAAGACAAAGAAAAACAAGTGACCTTGAGCGAAACGTATATCGTGCGGCTGCTAGACAGTGAACCTGCTTCGCACACGGCCAGAAGTGCATAGATAGCGCGAAGCAGCTGAATTCTTACATGGCCTTGCAGCGATAATACAGAGCAAGATTATGATTTTAAGAGGGCAGACGTGAAACTATAAAAGCTATGGCTGTTCCGTCCGTAAGCGCCACAAACTGACATACCAAGGCTTCGCTACATTAAATTAAACATTTATCAGCCTGGGTTTAATGCCTTTTGCACCTCCTGCTCAGCGCAGGTGTTATTATTGACCCGGAATTAATAAGAACTACGTCAATTTGTGCGATGCAAGTTCGCGTCATACCAAAATCGTGGCTGCAGTGATGAAGACTTTTGAGGAAAGGAAAGCAAGCCCTTCTGCGAATTTCTGTTGCCACACACCAGTAATCAGATATATTTTTGAACTTCCCCCAATTAGAATATATACTCCGTGATAGCCAAGTGGGCCAGAAATACATAACAGGATGTCCCTCAGTAAGGGAGATTCCCTCCAATAAGGAAGGCACGATGCTATGAGTCCCCGCCCACACGCTCATCGCGGAGAAGCCTTCAATAACAACACTCAGTGAATTTCAAATATTTCTGGGAGACAGATACTCCTTTTTCCAGAGTTGTTTCAACCGCGACCCTGCTTCACGACCTGCATTCGAAACACTCGCCGATGAAATACTGACCGGTATCGAAGACTTTAGGGAAGAGAAAACTCTCATAGAAAAACTTAAATTTTGGTAGATGACGGATACACAGTTCTGCGAAATAATCTACTATTAAATTTATATTTATTTATCAATCTTACTAACCCACATTGCGTCATCACTAACCGCTTTTCTAGAGTAAAGTCAGAAAATTCAGTAGCACTCAGACAATTCCCTTAAGATACGCCTAGTAAAGGACTAGTTGCTAAAGAAAAGCTACTTGGTGGGGGCATTCAGCGGCGCAACTGTGCCACGTCACGTATGCTCGTCTACCGTCTCTCTCCGAGAAAGTAGAAAATGGATATATAATATAACGAACTTTCCACTCGTGAGTTCTCGCACTGAAGATATATGATATTTGGAGCCATTTCAAAACTATTACTATTACGGCTATTACTTCTCGAGTAAACTCGATACAGACGAGCAGAGATGACACATCATTGTCAGCCCCTCCCCCTCCAGCTCATTTGGCCTATCCCTCTTTGACTCAACTGAACCATTTGGGTGATTGGCCGAATCTGATGGAGCAAACCATCCGAGTCACGTTTTTGCCCCTCAGCTCCAACAGAAACTGCCATTGGAAAGAAGGTTTTAGTCACTCTGAGCCATATCTCATCCTCCTGGCCATTATATTGCGCTGGAACGTCCTATTAGTGCAACTGCTGCTCGCCCTACTTCGATTCCTTCCTGCACATTGTTCACCTCTCTCCCGATCCAGCGTTTTCGCGCTAACCTTTCGGTGCAAGGTGAGTACAGTATCCGTAAACTCCCGCTTTGAATGGCAGTATTGGGAATATGCCGCGTTTGAAGAGTATTTAACTTCGAGATAGATTAGGACCGCAGACATACTACTTATCACCAATGGGGTAAAAAAAACTTTCTGGACTTTGCTTTTAGGAAACCCTCAGGAAAGGCGATGAGCTAATGGGTGGAGACCTGGAAAATATTGAGCCTTCATCACTGGTGTACCCTCCGCAAGCGACTTAGAGCCTGCCGCGTTCGAATAACTCCGCCATCCGTTATCGCAGAATTGCAAAATTTATCTCAGTTGATTACCTCTTTCCATGTGATGATTTATGATATCGGCGTGCTGTAGAGTACATTATTTGTTTATGCTGTGTCAGATCTCTCCGTTGCCATGGTAATTATCACTAATTACTGATTATTGCCATTATTGTCTGTTTCTTGTGTTGTTGACCCCATTAGTTCTCCGTAACGATCTCTGATGTAGCTGACGCTAATTAGGTACTTACTGATCATTGTGATTACTCAATTACTGAATGTTTATCTTTGGTTCGTATTTTCGCAATGATTGGCACATCATGAAAATAAAAAGCGGAAATAAATTGCCGACATAGCTAAAAACACTTCACAATCCGAACTTCCACATGAAACCGGGTATTATGTGTCCGCGGGGAGGGGTGCCAGTCTACGATTCCGCTGGAGTAGCCTGCAACCTTTTAAGGGAGGGTAAGAAGCTGTGGGATGGACGATCGGCGTTGTGATTCTATTTATTTCAATTCATTAACATTCTTACTCCAGAGCGCTCTTTCCCAAATCCACACGGCTACTCTGCACTGACTCGAATTGCAGCAGATTGTTATTTCCCGCTGAACTGAAACAGACACCGATTTATCGGTGATTTCTACGAAGGAAGAGATTCATCAGTACGTCAAGTTTGCTTTGCCGGTTGATCGGCTTCTGAGGCGGAGCTGACAAAAAGCAGGGAGAGGGCATGGGCTGCCTGTAGTCACCCACGTGATTGAAGCGAGCGATATCCAAGGCCTCTGGGCCTATCGGAAGATGGGAGAACATGGGCGAGTCAGTATAACACTCCGGTTGGAGATACTCACTCCTGATCTTAGTGGCACTTTCTCAAAACGTGAGTCATGGCTTCTTCGAAAAACTAGGCACGTGGGAGATAAAATATGTGCAATTGGATCCAGCTCCCAGTTTATCTCCCTAGGGTAGCGACCCCCTTCTAGCAACTTTCCAGGCATATAAAAACTGCCGAGCCAGGAGGAAGCCGACATCCGGGATCAATTGGCAGAAATTAAAGTTCTGGCGCGCCGCTAACTAGGAGGATATATAGGGCACAAGCGAAACGAGGAAAACCAACTACCAGAAAAAGCAAGGGCCGCAGACCTCATTTCCATTTTCAGCCCAGTTCTTCAGAATAAATAAGACATTATTAGTTAAGCTCCTCAGACCAAGTACGATCCCTAACGAAATAGGACCTCCGTGAGAAACTTCCCAGTGAACGGCGTGCCCTGCTTTAGCAGGCAGACAATCCGCTAAAGACCAAATCCGTTGGGCCGCTCGCCTAATCCGCTCCTCCAGCATAGGAGAGGAACGTGGATAAACTGCAAAATCGCCATTTCCAGCAAATCTATATTTATTCATAACTCTAAGCTAAGACAGAGCAGTAAGCAACTGAAGTGTAATCAACGGAAAGTAGTGGTTGGCTGAGTAGACTGGTCTCCATTCTCTGCGACATGGACTTCACAGGGCATCGGAGAACGGCGTTCAAACTTCTGCACTTCCCTCGGGGCGCGGCAAACCAATTTTTGATGCGCGAAGTCTACACTTGCTAAACTTCCTCTTGGTAACACGGTGGCTAGGGTAGAGTTGGTCGATATGTCCATCATCGCGATTCTTGACATTGCCCTGACACGTGCGGCGCCAGAGCGACATTGTGCTTCATGTCTAATCTAAAGAAAACCACCAGATGGAAATAAAGTGGGATTTTCGCCTTGCTCAACGTTTCCTCCGGTACGGCAGCCATACTCGATGTCTCGGTGGAACTACATCAAGAGAGTGGGATCGGGTGAAAGGATCATCAAGAGACACATTGAAGTCATTGCGAGCGCAGTTGATTCCATCCCGACTGCGAGTAGATCTCAACGGCGCAGTTTGTCGACGGGGGGCATTTTGCTTTCCATAGATGTGTCGACCCATCTAGGCAGCCGTTTCTCGAGTTGACACGTTTTAGGATAGTGGCTAGACGATCTTACTTCAGCTTCACAAGAGTTCACAAGTTTTACCAGAGTGAGATTTGTAAAAGCGAACTGGGAAATGCAATGATAATCAAAAAAAAAAACCCCCCCCCCCCCCCCCGTCGACAAACAGCGCCGATGTCAACATTAGAGATTGCGCATCGCGCTAGAGGATGGGGGCCATTTCTCGGAAAATGGACCTAAATGTCCATTTGGTATGGAATTTGTCCCCATGGGTTTGGAATTTGCCGTGCGAGAAAGGAAGTTATGTTTCTAAATTCACTAAAAGTTCCTTCAAGCACGCCAGTATAAAGAACGCTCTGCTTTGGGAAACACACATATATATTTCATGATCCCTTCGAAAAATAGGGCGTGTAAGGGGACGTGGACTAGAGCGGCCTTTTCAACCGATGACACCCTCCTGAGCACACAATTTGTCGCCACTAAACCCTCTCTTGTCTTCTTCTCTCTCTCCCTTTGGTAGGTTAGATCATGACCGTACCCTGCACAGCTATTGCGTTGATATTTCTAAGAAATACCGCGGATCTCCATAGCGCTAGCGTTTAGCTGAGAGGCGCTGAAGTACTTGCATCAATGTCGCGACAATCGTTGCAGTAACACCGGCGCGATAAATCGCACCACTACCTTAACGCACTTTGGCCGCGAATTGCGCGTAAGGTCTGGCTCAACAACTCAGCAAATGCTGGCGTGCTCCGGAGATCTGACTGCTGTTACAAACCAAAGCTAGGATTTGAGTTCATCGGACCCACTATCTCCGGATCGTAAGAATACCGATGTCATACACTGGACAGGCAGGAGTGAGCAATGTTTTTGGTGAGAAACTTCAGCGAAAATTGAAAATCTAGCCTAAATTCTGAAAGTAAGGCTAGATAATGCCTATACAACTCGTAATGAAAACCAATTAAGTACCTATAGTGAGGCTCACTCCATCCACAATCGAGATGTGCCCTCCCGTCTCGGTGGGCCGACAACGAAAGCCGTTAGGCAGTAAGTACCTTCCTTGGAGAACGTGAGCTATCGGGCAGCTAACATGAGGGCAATTAGTTATTATATCGTGCAGGATTATGGCGATTAACTAATACGACGTTCGAGATTAACGTAGTGAAAGTAATAAGTGTCCAGAGATCGTGTGTAGAAAAACTAACGCGATACCGGCCGCCATATTTAGCAATCGGCTCCCGAGGAATGCTGCATGCGTCAGCAATGTAACCGGTTGATCTTGGAGATCGCGTGAAAAACCTCAGCTGATAAAAGTATTCACGCATCGCTTGCCCACCGTTCCTGACCTCCTTTCTTTTAGGCTTTTCCTTTTTCCTTGTAATCAGAATTGTTCAAAATTCCACGGATTTTCTCCTCCAAATATTCGCGTGTCACCAGAAATTTATTGAGGATTTCAGCGTAGCCCTAGAGTTAACATTAATTGGTTGGCAGATCAAAGAACGCCCATTCTTGGGAAAAGGGTTACCTGATTCTTTGCCAAGCCTATGCAATTTTTCTTCTTTTGCCCTCATGGAATTGGCTGAAAAGTGTCAGGAGTTTCCCACTACAGCGCCGCGTTCCTTGACGCTGAAGATTTGTGGCGAATGAAAATTCTCCACATGCTGTGATGCGGTTAAGCGCTCTTGCACTTGCGCGACTATGTTGGGATCTTTTGGGCCAAGTTCTTGGGATGAAGGCAATGAAGGTAAATCCCCCAAAACAACTAGGATCAATACACCTGGCAGGATAGAATTCCGACCCTAGGCCAGCGTTGCTAGCGGGTTTTTTCGAGGGAGGTGCCGCCTCATAAGGCCCTATCCAAGCCAAAACATTTGCGTCTGCCAACGCCCCCCCACGCCGCGCCGCCTACGAAATGGCGACCGTCCCCTCGACGTTCGCTTATTCATTCATTGCCTTACGCAAATTATAAAGCGAAAGGATTGCGGAGCGGCGGTTGATGCTGTATGCATCATGACAGGGTGGGGCGAAAAAAAAACTTTTCTTCCTTACTTTTTTCTTCCTTGACTTTCGAGGCGTTATAAGTTACACTTTATTGAATTCTTATCGGATATTTCACCACCATATTAAGGAGCATATCAAATACTATGCACCCCGCCACAGCCTTCTGGAGGAGCGCCATCGAGAGATTCTGCCGAACGACCGTGAGTGGGTGCCTGAGTTCAGCGAGATCGTTGATTTCTCCGCCACTGTAGACCACCCTATTGAACTCCGCCCGAACCAGGTAATTGAGGGGTTTGGGTCAGATGACCTGCTTGAATATTCCACCTTCCTCAGGTACTCAACGCCCCTCCTCAAGTAGCAAGAGTTCTGCGTGTATTCACAATCGTGGCTTTAGAAGTTTACACGATGTGCAGTTACCACCCAGGCCCTCACCAAGCCGAGATTGGCGCCACAAATGGTTAAACTTTATGACAATAATCGACTAAAGCATGTCTTTGCCCATGCTTCCCAATCTGAAATTTATGAATAAATTTATGAACTTCACACTTATTGAGTTCTTCCGTGGGACTGATAAAAAGCACCGGTTTTTTCAATGGATGGCAGCAGTCATTGTGTGGAATCCCATTCGCGACACCATCACGTGACGACCAACTTCAATAGACCGGCCTTTATAGGACCATATTATGCGATAATCAGAGAGATTATTGAAAGCCTAAATGTCCAAAAATTTCAATAATTCGAGAAGCATGGGCCTAAACTTTCCACAGGAAAAGGATAACGTACCGCAAAACGGCATCGAGCTTATCGGGTGGGCTCAAATTCCACGGCACCAGTGTTCCAAATGCAACCACGATTGTTCCACGGGAAGATGGATTAGAAACAAACTCTTTCACTACTTGTGGTAGGGTTTTCTTCTGTGAGCAGTAGGAGCCGTACGAGAAGTACTAAACATACGAACTTCTGTTCTTTAGCAGCATGGTTGTTGGGAAATCATCATAAATTTGTGCCAGTGCTACAAGAGTTGATAGGAGGGGGGAGGCAGACCCGGTCTGGACAGGAGAAAGCCCCTTTGGGACCGCTATCTCGAACAGGATTCACCCCTTCTCCTTGGTGCTGTTCGAATAAGGAGCGATAAGACTCACGTCATTTGTTCTCGGAGCAGGATAATATAACGATTCAGGCATGTCTGTAAATGAATATGAGCTGACTCTGTTGAACTCGAGGAATGAAAAGTTAGGTAGTACCGGTGATAAAGCCTGAAAAGGTAAGTATTCCACATATTACGCTAATTGTAATCGGGAAACCTTACACGATTCATGAAAGTAGTCAGCGATCACATTTGTCGCCACAGTTGAACCCAGCCAGTCAACAGCGGATCGTACGCGGTCCATAAAAGCGCTGGGCTGCAAAACATCAATTTCAGGGAAACAAATTTACATACAATTTCTCTTTCATTCATCAAGGAGGAATGATGAAAATAATGCGCTAAAAACCTTGGGGGAGCACACATGAAAATGCCTGTCAGCATACCAAATCCTGTGAACTGTATGTAGGCACGTGAATACTGGAGATCAGCGTTATGTTAGCCTTTTTATCACTTGACGCCAGTCAGAAGCACGTGATAAAGACTCCAGAGGTTTGTACCTCCCAACAATTATCCTAAAGACCAAGCCATTTCGCGACCTCTAGATAAACGTGCGTTCATCGCCATCCGTATACGAGGGGAGGGGGGGGGTCAGGGATACAAGCTGTGGCCCCCGTCACACTTGTCCACATGGATGGTCAGGAACTGAAAAAATTGGAGAGATGGCGTCCCAGTAATGCTAGTATCATTTCGTCAAGGTTGCAGAACTCTACAGGGTACTCGAAAGGAATTCGCAGGACTCGCTGGGCAAGACACCATAGAGAACGTAGTAGCAAGGCCGCACCCTCTACTGTCGTTTGCCTCTCTAGAGCTGATTCTAGGGGAAAAACCAGTCTCCCTTAGCTCAGCTTTAAACAAGCAGGCGTAGAGAAACCATATTCATGATTACTACCCCGACTAAATACAAATGCAGGTTGAGAACGTGCTAAGAGTCGTTTTGCCAAATCGCTACCGGCATCACTCTAGCAGCAATAAGGGGGCAAGCGCCATAAATGAATCCCATAGTTGTGATCAGAATACGAGGAATCCTCGCACGAAGGTTTATAGCAATGCTGGTGGAATGTCGACAGTGCCAAAGTGGTGTTAATGTCAAGTAAGAGTGTCACATCTTACTGATCGAGGAAAGTATTGCAGAACTCACATCAAAGCTAGTTTGAGCATACGACATGAAGTTGGGTGGCAACAGGGCATAGTTCCTGAAATACTGAGTGGTCTTTCCCCAGCGCAAAATGAATACAAATGATCAGCAAGTTTCCAAGAAAAAAAAGTATGAAAGGGTCTATTGACAGCAATCTTCTGAAGTGCTACCAGCTCCACGCTTCTCTTAGCCAGGACCATCCAACGATCTAAACACGTTTTTCAAGCCGCCTACCCGGAGTGGACGTCTCAAGCGCTCGAGTAGCCTTTTTGATTCTTCTCCGAAATCAAGACTGGTGCCAAACGACTCGACAAAAGCAAGTAGCGCGAGGATGACGTGGCAGAACAGACTAGCATACACAGGGTAGCATTACCGTGAGTGTGAAAATGTGGTGTCAGTAGCGATCCGTCTCCCCAATTTTCTCACCTACCGTACCTAAACTTGCTACACAGCCCCAGCCTCCTACCAGTTTTTTTCCGAAATGTACCCCCACGTTTTTCAGTTTTCCACCAGTTTTTTCACGTTCGAGCGAAAGGGGTGGGAGCATATAGCCAATAAGGAGTGAGAAAAACCGCGAAACGTCAACCGGGGTAAATTTTTCCCAGCGCGGCAAATATCTCTTGAAGGCACATACGATCTCCCTCCCCAGCGGCCAAGTACGACCCCTGCATGTGTTTCACAAACGATGCTGTACCCTGTGCATACAGTGCATCGCAATGCAGCTCGGATTGACCACAGCTTTATAACTGCTCGAGGAAAAATAAAGCAGATCAATAATGGATTGATCTGCTTATCTGAATTGGATTCAGAAGCGTCTACCTGCTTGGTGGGGATATTTTACTAGTTAGCATCACACTCTCACAGCCTCCTAAAAAGAACCCGTAAGTTCTTGTGAAGCTAGTGAACCCCAGTGAAGCAATAGCACTAGCTTTCTTCACCTGGCAATAGTTTACAGGCCTCGTCAACGTGAAACTTGTGATTCAACGGAGGAACCAAAGAAGGAAAGAAAAATCATCAAAAAAAACCGCTAATAAGAAAAGTTCTTCTCCCCCACCCCCCCTCCTGAGCCGAACACCCCTAACTCAGCTCTACAAACCTATGAAATCCTTTAGCGACTCCGTGTGGTCCTTCGATGTCACTCGAATGTATCATGACATGGTGACTTCCACTCAGACGAGCGATGCCGTAACCGCACACAGTAAAAAGCGAGTCGGCGAAAATCAAACTCCAGTTTCCTGAATATGTATAAATTGTATAAAGTGTCAAATATCAAACTCCTAGAGGCGTCGGGAAACAACACGATGCAGTGCTAAGAAATCTTCCCAGAGGATGCTTTCGAACGAGTTCGGGTCACACAGAAGGCGTCTAGGCGGTGGAAAACTCCTACTTGAGAGTTTGTCCATGAGGATCGCGTGGGCGGATGCAAGCTCGGCCATTGTCTTTTCGTCGGGGCTACTCCTCCCGAAATGATGAAATAAAGAGGCGGTAATGAGGAAGACGTGGTTGACCATCTCCGCCCACACGATCAGTGTGAACTGAATCTATGAGCGAGTTGAGTGGTGAAACGAATATAGGTCTAATCGCTGTGCGTTGTCGGATTTCGTTCTGTAGGGACAATTATCCGTTGAGGGTATCATGATT